ATACTGGCTATACCCAATGATAATAAATTGTGATTTCATTGCATCTTTAATCTCGATTACTCAGTTTACATGGTATCAAAGCCACACAGGTTCTTCGGGTAGTATTTCACGAAGTTCGACTTTGCTCTCTCCCTCTGGTTTGATTCAGCCTTCTTTTGTGCGGCACAAGACGGTGTTCGCACGGCACATGCATGGTAATCTGAATCGTGCAGTACAGTCATCACAGGTTTGATTTTCTGGACACTATCTGCACCGATTCTCTTACCCTGTTCTTGTTGTCCTTCTTGCCCTAGTTGTTTGCAAGCATGGGTGATGATAAGAAGAGCGTGATTGAGATTACGGTTGGTAATGTTAGAATTGCCAAGAGAAATCTGACTGGTGCTAAAGATTACGGGCAATGGAAACGGACTATTACTAGATATGTTAATAGTCTTGATCTGGGAGATCATCTAACCAAAATGACTCCTCCAAGAAGTAGTCCTGATGAAAGAAAGAAATGGATGACGGCCAATGATAAGCTGTTCAATCAAGTTCAGAATACCATGAATCCTTCTATTGATATTATCATTACTCATTGTGATACCGTCAAAGAAATGTGGGAATACTTTGAGTCTATGTACGCCAGTAAACAAGATCTTGTGAGAATAATTGGGAGGCTTACTAATGTGGTAGCCCTAGATGTCATATATATAATAAAAGATGTTCTGAGTACATTAGAAAACATACAAAATATGGAAACCTAATTAAAGTATTAATTACTCTATTACACCACCTCAAGCCGTGCAAGGGAAACAATGCGCAGATTGTCTCTAAGAACTATAAATCGCTGTGGAGATTAGCACTTAGTAAATATATCTGCAAGCTGAAACTGTGTAGGAACATAGCGAACAGATAGATCTCCATGAGACACTCTCTCGAACAAAATGATAGTCAATGCTGATATGCTTGCTGCGGGCATGCTGAATAGGATTTGTGGACAAATAAGAGGCAGAAACATTATCACATAATAGTTTTACTGGCTCGCGAATAGGAAATCCCAGCTCGAATAATATGGAACAAATATGTAAAGTATCTTGAACAGTGTAAGCAATGGCACTTTATTCAGCTTCTGTGAAAGTTCGAGAGACAGTCGGCTGCTTCTTAGACTTCCAAGAAACCAAATTCGGCCCCAGAAAAATAGCAAAGCCAGAAGTAGATCTGATACTATCAGGACATCCCGCCTAGTCAGCATCCGGATATGCCTGTATAGTAGGAGTAGCCGTGCTCGGATGAAGCAATAGGCCATGACCAATGGTCCCTGAAGATACCTGAAAATACGCTTCACAGCCAAAATATGTGATGTACGAGGCGCATACTGTCGGCATGCATAAACTGGGAAACCAAGTGAACAACAAATGTAATATCAGGTCTAGTCATGGTTAAATACTGATAGGTAACGGAAGAATCCAAGTAGATAATTGTAGGATATTAATTAAATTTAAGTGATGGAATACAGAAAGTTATGAAAGAAAAGGGTTTGAGACTCTTCGAGTGGTCTCTCACTCCCAGTTCCGATCCCAGATCCCAAGTTCTGCCTCCGTTATTCTTTCCCTTACCCCCCTTTTATAATACAACTCACTAAAAGGGCCAGCCCTCACTTAAGTTATTGGGCCTTGAACCCAATTATTGAAAAACATTAAAATACTTAATAAGACTCTAATTATTTGTAGTGCCCGGGTCCCTATCATCACTCCCCCCTGAACTTCCACCTTGTCCTCAAGGTGGGGAGTAAGAAAAAAACCATGCCATTCAACTTCAGCCTCGCGCCCCTTCCTTCCCAATACTTCAGCTCGGATACATGAAGTGGCAAAACCTTCCTATTTGGATTGAGAGCTTCAGCAATTAGACCTTCACAATGGTTGGTGTTGGTAGTCGCCTGTTCAAGGTTGTTTGCCCAAGACGATGATGGATATGCATAATTCTCATTCTGTTCTTGATTACCCTTAGTCATCATCTTATTTGATTCCTTGTAGCGGCCATTCTCATTTTCAGTTGGCTGTGTAAGACTCTCACCATTTTTCCTCTCATATGGCTTCTCTTCACTTCCACCAGTTCTTTCAAAGCAAGAAACAATAGCAATCTGTATTTCCTGAACTGCCTCATACTTTCCATTCACCGCAGATGAAACTGGATGCAAACTTTTATTCAAATTTGGCCAACTAACTGCAGTTGAGGTATCCTTTGCACAAAAAATGTATATGTTGAAAGCATTCTCTTTCCCTTGTCTACGAACTCTATCTTCAGAATGATTAGACTTAAAATCAGAGCTATTGGCAGTTCCAGTCGACTGGATATACAAAACGCGAGACTCCAAATTGTCAGGTTCCACTTTATCTGAAATAATTTCCTCGGCTTTCCCCTCTTTGAATTTCAAAAGCTCCTGATTATCAGGTGGGAGCATATCATCTTCCAGATTTAGCTCCTGGACTGACGGTGCAGCGGTCTTCAACCCCTTGTTTAATTTTGAAGGCGGAATTCCCGGCAATCCCTTTTCGGAGTCAACCTGGTCCAGGCTTAGGTGAGGATTGATTTGCGACAACAACTGCGAGGAGGTTGAGGCCGTTCGCGAAGAGGAACTGTGAGCATCGATGAGTGAAGAAGCCTGCAAACGGGGTTCTTTTGCTTGCGATGAAGTTGGCAACGATGATGAGACATGGTTCTCAGACTTCCGACGATGTCTAGGGTTCCTCGATCGTCCCCTTCTCCTGCTGCGACTGCCCTTAGCTTCGAGACTTTGCATCTTCTCCAGCAACAACTGCACTTTCTCGTCAAGCAAGGCTCGCATCTCTGTTCGCATCTCTTCCTTTGATCGTTCGAATGATCGCTCCAAACTGTCCATCCGTTGCTCCATGTTCAATCGAGTGAGTACCATACACAGGTGCAATGATCGACGCTCTGATACCAATGATAGGTAACGGAAGAATCCAAGTAGATAATTGTAGGATATTAATTAAATTTAAGTGATGGAATACAGAAAGTTATGAAAGAAAAGGGTTTGAGACTCTTCGAGTGGTCTCTCACTCCCAGTTCTGATCCCAGATCCCAAGTTCTGCCTCCGTTATTCTTTCCCTTACCCCCCTTTTATAATACAACTCACTAAAAGGGCCAGCCCTCACTTAAGTTATTGGGCCTTGAACCCAATTATTGAAAAACATTAAAATACTTAATAAGACTCTAATTATTTGTAGTGCCCGGGTCCCTATCAAATACTGTAAAGCGCCTACCATACTTCTATACTCAGTAGGATCTGCCAGCAGATCGCCATCAGAGAGAGTTTAGTTCGCGTAGGTAGAGGAGTACGAACAGGCTTGAGAGTGTGAAGATGAAACCTGGTGAGAAGATCAGACACATATTTTTGTTGGGACAAAAATAGACCAGAAGGTACTCGAACAGCCTGGACACCTAGGAAAAAGTGTAAATCCCTCAAATCCTTCATAGCAAAGCAGCGGCCAAGACAAGAAATAAATGTGGAAATAAAGGAGGGGGAATTACCGGTGACAATGATATCATCCACATATAAAAGAAGATAAATAATCGAGGACCCATGACGATAAATAAACAAGGAATTATCAGACTTGCTGCAAACAAACCCATGAGTGAGCAAAAAACTACTGAACCGGTAAAACCAGGCTCGTGGGGCCTGTTTAAGACCATAAATAGCCTTCCGGAGACGACATACATGATGGGGAAATTGGGGATGAATAAAGCCAGGAGGCTAACTCATATAGACTTCTTCAGTCAGATTACCATGTAAAAAGGCATGTTTAACATCTAACTGTCGAATATTCCAATGAAACGAAACAACAAGTGACAAGACTATACGAACAGTAGTGGGCTTAACCACAAGACTAAAGGTCTCAGAAAAATCTACACCTGCTTGTTGAGTAAACCCCTGAGCCACAAGACGTGCCTTATACCGCTCAATAGACCCATCTGAATTAAATTTAGTTTTATAAATCCATTTAGACCCAACCACATTTTTATGAGGATTAAATGGAACCAAATCCCAAGTATGATTATCAATAAGTGCATTAAACTCTTCTGCCATAACACCACGCCATTTATGATTTTTATTAGCAACCGAAAAACAGGAAGATCACATGCCGAAATATCTGTCTTGAGGTTAAAAATATTTTTTGGTTTAAAAATCTTCAATTTAGCCCGTGTTTGCATTAGGTGACAATTGACAAGAGAAGGTGTTGGCAGGGATGTAATACTTGAGATTTAATTTTAATAGATCAATAGTACTACTCATACCAACAGGGGTGCATCTCCTTTTAAGGGAGCTCATCAGCTAAGAACTACAAAGTTAAGCGTGCTTACACGGGAGTAGTCTTGGGATGGGTGACCCCTGAGAAGTTTCTCAGGGCGCACATGAGTGAGGACAAAGTGCGCGGTAAAGGCTCGTGGTGGTTTGTGAGGACAGTACTTGAGGTCCAGAGTAACTACCTCGGGTCCTGCGGGGCCGGGTGTTACAGTTGGTATCAGAGCAACCCTGCGACAGTGTGCTAACCCGTTGGATATCGGGCGGGCACTTAGCGGGGGAGGATTGTTGGATTTGATTGAGATTTAAGATTGGTTTATGTGGCGTAACGAGGACGTTGCGTTCCTAAGTGGGGTGATTGTAACACTTGAGATTTAATTTAAATGGATTAATAGTACTACTCATACCAACAGAGGTGCATCTCCTTTTAAGGGAACTCATCACCCAAGAACTCCAAAGTTAAGCGTGCTTGCACGGGAGTAGTCGTGGGATGGGTGACCCCCTGGGAAGATTCTCAGGGCGCGCATGAGTGAGGATAAAGTGCGCGGTAAAGGCTCGTGGTGGTTTGTGAGGACAGTACTAGAGGTCCGGAGTAACTACCTCGGGTCCTGCGGGGCCGGGGTGTTACAGGGGATGGTGGCGGTGAGACCGAGGGTGGGCTGGATGGGGTCGAGGATGAGGTGGGGGTCGATAGAGTGGGTGTGGTGGTCGATGCAGGCTGGTGGGAGAATAAATGGTGGGGTGTGTAGGCTGGCTGGTGGTGGTGGTCGGATGGTGGGGTGATCGACCGACGGATGGCAGGAGGTCTGTGGGAAGGCTGCGGCAAAGGAGAAGCTGATGGTGGGCAGATCTCATGAAGCTGAACAGTATTAATCGGAGGACAAAGTGGCAATGTTGATTTTTCCAAGGAAGAAATTAAATCAGAATATGGAAAATGATTTTCATGAAAACAAACATTTCTGTTGATGTAAATCTTGCCGGTAAGAGGATCAAGACACCGGTATCCCTTATATTCAGGAGCATAGCCTAAAAATACACATAAAGTGGATCTAGTAGATAATTTGTTTGATGAATTGACATTAAAATTTGGAAAACAAGCACACCCAAATATGCGCATAGAATAGTAATCAAGGGAATGATGAAATAATTTTTCAAAGGGAGTAGCACCATTTAAGTTGGGAGTGGAGAGACGATTAATAATATAGGTAGCGGTAAACACAGCATCTACCCAGAATATAGCTGGCATTTTTGCTTCAAACAGCATAATGCGAGCTAATTCAAGTAGATGTCGATGTTTACGTTCAGCAACCCCATTCTGTTCAGGCGTGTCAGGACAGGATTTGCGAAACAAAATACCATTTTGGAGAAAAATATCCCGCATACCATAATTATCAAACTCACCCCCTCCATCACTTTGAAAAATTTTAATTTTGGAGTTAAGTAAATTTTCAAACATTGTTTTAAAAATTTGAAAGTGCCGAACTACCTCACTTTTATGACGCATTGGGTACAACCAAGTAAAACGAGAGAAATCATCAATAAAAATAACATAATATTTAAAACCATTCGGTGAAAGAACATGAGATTGCCAAACATCAGAATGAATTAAATATAACGGAGTAGTAGATCTATGCCACATTTCTTGAAAAGGTAACCGGTGTGATTTTCCTAATCGACAAGAAATACAATCATGAGAAAAATTCGACGTACTAAGAATAGTGCCAGACTTTTTAAGCCTATCTAAAATACGACTGCCACAATGTCCCAAACGATGATGCCATATCGGTCCAGGAGCAACATGAGAGCTGAGAGCAATTGGTGAAGAAGGTAAGGAAATAGGGTAAACACCGCCAGTATTAGAAGCTTGAAGGAGCACCTTTCCCGAAATTGTGTCCTTTATACAAACAGAATTTTTATAAAAAAATAACAAAACAATTATTATCGGCACATAATCGTTGAATAGATAATAAATTATATTTTAGATGAGGCAAATGATAAACATATTTTAAATGAAGTGGCCTAGGCAGAGTAGACAAATGCGAATTATCGATAGTCATAACAGGTAGATTAGAACCATCCGCAACCGTCACTTTTAGTGGTCCAGAATAAAAGGATTTATTTTCTAAAATACCTTCATTAGCGGTCATATGAGCAGAAGCACCCGAGTCGGGGTACCAATCAGCAGTAGTGGATTCCCCTGTAGAAATAGCCAAAGCAAGAGCCTGTGGTTGAACTAAACGAGACGGACAAGCAACAACAGAATGACCTGGGGAATGACATATTTGGCAGACAACAGGAGGAGGGACGGAACCAAAAATATTCTCAACCAATGGAAATCCTGCAGAGCCATAGTTAGTACAAAAAGTAAATAGAGCAAGAGTATAAGACAATGACCGGACTGAATTACATAAAACTGTACCCGGTGAACCCATCGGATGTGGCTGCATAGGACCGCACTCGTACACCCCAGACTGCTGCCCGGCTCCCTGAAACTGCTGCGGCTGGCCTACATGCTGTGGTCCCGCGTACTGCTACTGCCCGACAGACTGGTGGTAATGCTGCCCTCTGCCGCGGCCTCGACCACGGCCTCGCTGGCCTCGTCCTTCGTGACCCCCGCGCCCACTGCGCTGAAACTGCTGATGTCCGCTAGAGGATGACGGACCCCCGCGCCCACTGCTGCAGCACCCCCGGATGAAGAAGAAGCGGCAAATGCAGGGGTTCCAACTTCCAACAATGGATTCCAACCGTTGTTGTAACTGAAGGCGACCCTCTTGTTGAACAAGTTTGGTGCATAAAGAATCAAACGTGAGGCCTTCGGGAAACAAGGTGAGTGGCCCCACAAGTGATTCATAACCCGGACTCAATCCCATAAGAGCATATTCCAAGAGATCATGATTGGGGACTGGCGAATTAATGCTAAATTTTCAGCAACGGTCCGGAGTTCGCCTAAATATTGATCCATGGTTTGATTTGGCTTTTTCTTGGTATGGGTTAACATTTGTTTCAATTCCATGAATCTGGCCAGACTGGCTGCTATAAATCGGGATTCTAATCTCTGCCATATGACATTCGAATTTTTCAACGGGTGAACTTCCATTAGAATTTCCCTAGACAACGTAGCAAATAACCAAGAACGAACAGTCTGGTCTAGTTTCAGCCAGTGGTAGTACTCCGGATTAATACTTTGGGTTTGATATAAATCATAAGAATAAGGAGACGGAGCCGGAAGGGAACCATCAAGAATACCCAAAAGTCCGTGTGAGACCAAAAAGGACTCAAATTGAGTACGCCACGGTAAGTAATCTTCTACCTTCAACAATTTAATTGTTACGATGGTAGTGATAAAAGAAGCACCAAAACCCATAACTTGTGCAAGAGTAGTGTTATCAGAATTAAGCATATAATAGTAATGAGAATGGAAGAATTTTCTGTGTATTTCATTGGAGGGATAAGTCCCTATATATATACATTACAAAGATAGAATATTCCTATAAGATGCTATACAATAATAATATCTTAGAGTATATTCCTAAAATATTCTAAAGCATATTCTAAAGATAGAAGAATATTCTAAAGCATATTATACAGCATATTCCAATGTCTTTCACACTCCCCCTCAAGTTGGAGCATAGATATTTATCATGCCCAACTTGTTACATAAATAACCAACACGAATTCCATTTAGTGCTTTAGTGAACAAGTCTCCAAGTTGCTCTCCCGTCTTCACATATCCTGTAGAGATCAATCCTTGTTGTATCTTTTCTCGAACAAAGTGACAATCGACCTCAATATGTTTTGTTCTCTCATGAAACACTGAGTTGTTGGCAATGTGTATAGCAGCCTGGTTATCACACCAGAGTTTAGCAGGCATTGGTGTCTTCAGTCCGATTTCACTCAATAGATGGTTTATCCAGATTGTCTCACATGCCGATTGTGCCATAGCCCGATATTCTGATTCAGCACTCGAACGAGAAACCACATTCTGCTTCTTACTTTTCCAAGAGACGAGATTACCACCAACAAAGACGCAATAGCCAGATGTGGATCTTCTATCATCTTTAGATCCAGCCCAATCAGCATCTGCAAAGCATTCTATGCGCATGTGATTATGATTTTGATAAACAATACCTCGTCCTGGTGTCCCCTTCAAGTAACATAATATATGCTCTACAACATTCCAATGATCAACTGTCGGAGATGACATATATTGACTTACTACACTCACTGAGTATGCAATATCTGGACGGGTAACTGCGAGATAATTAAGCTTTCCAACCAACCTTCTATATCTTTCTGGATCTTTGAATGGTACGCCTTCATGAGTGAGCTGCACATTGGGAATCATGGGAGTATTGCTCGGTTTTGCCCCCAGTTTCCCTGTTTCAGTTAGCAAGTCAAGCACATATTTACGTTGAGATAGAAATATGCCTTTCTTGCTCCGTATAACCTCAATCCCCAAGAAGTGTTTCAATGAGCCCAAATCTTTTGTCTGGAATTGACTATGAAGAAAATTCTTAAGAGCCAAAATACCTGCATTATCACTCCCTGTAATCACAATATCATCGACATACACCACAAGCAATGTGATACCTGCTTTTGTTCGTCTGTAAAATACAGAGTGATCTGATTTGCCCTTTATCATTCCAAACCGTTCAATTGATTGACTGAATTTCCCGAACCATGCACGGGGACTCTGTTTCAAACCATAAAGAGACTTGCGAAGTCGACACACTTTTCCATACTCCCTCTGAGCAACAAACCCTGGAGGTTGCTCAATATAAACTTCCTCTTGAAGATCACCGTGCAAGAATGCATTTTTAATGTCCAACTGATGTAAGTGCCAACCATTAGTTGCAGCGAGAGAAATAAGTAACCTGACAGATGTTAATTTAGCAACAGGAGAAAAAGTGTTAGAATAATCAACACCATAGGTTTGAGCATAACCCTTCGCTACTAATCGGGCTTTTAAACGAGCAACGGATCCGTCAGGGTTAACCTTTACAGCAAAGATCCCTTACATCCAATAGATTTCTTCCCTGTAGGCAAGTCTACCAAATCCCAAGTACCATTAAGATCCAAAGCATTCATTTCCTCTACCATGGCATGACGCCATTCAGGATGAGACAAAGCGTCTTTAACAGATTTGGGAACAGAAATAGAATCAATGGAAGCAATAAAAGAACACGAGGTAGATGATAACTGATTATACGACACAAATGAAGAAATAGGATGAGTACAAGACCGTGTACCTTTACGTAGTGCGATAGGGAGGTCAAGATCTGATGTAGAGGCAGGATCTGGAGATGCAAGTATTGGTTCAGGACATGAGATCGAGACCGGATCAGTATCAGGATAAGTAACCACAGGTGGAGGGTGATCTTGTACTTTGTTTCGACGGGTGTAGACCAAGTGTACCGGGGGCCTAGGCTCAGGAAAAGTAACATGTGGAACAACGGCTGAAGCAGTGGACTCGGGTATAGTGACTGTGTAAATGAGTATATCATCATTCTCCCTACAAATATTTGTCTCTGTTGATGAAAACGGTGTCTTTTCATAAAAGGAGACATCAATTGAAACAAGATATCGACCCGTACTTGGACAAAAACATCTGTAACCCTTTTGAACTCGAGAGTAGCCTAAGAAAATGCACTTTAATGACTTGGGATCTAACTTTGTTAAATGGGGATTAACATCTCGTACAAAACAAGTGCAACCAAATATTTTAGGAGGGATAGGAAAATTTTCATTATTTGGAAATAGGCACTGATATGGAGTTTTACCATCCAAAACAGTAGATGGCATTCTATTGATCAAAAAACATGCGGTAGACACAGCATCTGCCCAAAACTGTTTAGGCACATTCATTTGGAATAGAAGAGCCCGCGCAGTTTCTAATAGATGTCTGTTCTTTCGTTCAGCAACTCCATTTTGTGGAGGTGTGTCTACACATGAAGTTTGATGAATGATGCCATGTTGAGCCATATACGACTTAAATGAGGAAGACAAATATTCTTGAGCATTGTCTCCCCTTAAAATACGAACAGGTACATTAAATTGAGTTTTAATTTCAGCACAAAAGGCACAGAAATGAGAAAATAACTCAGAACGACGTTTCATGAAATATATCCAAGTCATACGAGAATAATCATCAACAAAGGTAACAAAGTACTTAACACCAGTTTTGGACACAACAGGGCAAGCGCCCCAAACATCAGAATGAACAAGTTCAAAAGGAGCATGTGCTCGTTTATTGACTCGGGGACTTAAACTAGTTCGATGATGTTTTGCAAATTGACATGAATCACACTGTAAAGATGACACCTTATTAAATTGAGGATGAAGTTTCTTTAACAACGGGAGAGAGGGATGGCCTAGTCGATAATGAGCCTCTAACACAGTTCCAACTCCAAGACAAGAGATGGATTTGGGTAAGGATGTATCCAAGAGATAGAGACCAGCCGACTCATATCCTTTACCAATAACCCGATTCGTCACCAGATCCTGAAAAACACAATATCCAGGAAAAAAAGTTACAGAGCAATTAAGATTACGTGTGATTTTGCTGATCGAAATCAAATTAAAGGCAAAGTTTGGAAGACTTAGGACGGGTGACAAAGGTAAGGTAGGTGTTGGGACAATTGTACCCGTTCCAAGAACTGGTGACGTAGATCCGTCAGCCAAAGTAACACTAGAAGTATGAAGAGGTGTGTGGAATGAGGAAAAAAGACTAGGATTACCTGTCATATGATCTGTTGCCCCTGAATCGATAACCCATTTTGAGGATGAAGACACAAGACATGTGTTTGGATTACCTGAATTAGCGACAGCTGAGATAGGAGTAGATGAATGCATTAGAGTCTCTTGGTAGCAAAGAAATTTGGCGTATTCCTCAGAAGACATACTTATTGATCCATCAGAAGACTGTGTAACGGAAGCAATGTGAGCAACCTGATTTCCTTGATTTTTGAATTTTAATTTTCTACAATCTTTGATCAAGTGTCCAGGCTTTTTACAATAGTTGCATACTATGCCTTTGCCAGATGGACCAGTACGTGGATATTTCTCACCTCCTCTGGTGAATGTCGGAACTTGCCCTACAAATGCATTGCTTGACTGAGGTGCTAATGGTGTGGATGAAGTATCGGTGCGAAGCACTCTAGTGAAAGACTCTTGAAGAGAAGAGACCTCATCACTAGATAAGATATGTGATTTGGCTGTTTCAAATTCAGATGTTAGACCAGCCAAAAAACTCATCACTGCCATTTGTTCTCTTTGTTTCTGCTGCACTTTGATATCAGGACTAAATGGCATTAATGTATTCAGCTCTTCATAGGTTTTCTTGAAATCCATAAAATAAGCCGTGAGAGGCTTATCTTTCATTTCTGCTCTGTAAAAGGCCTTGCACACCTCATAGATGTGGTTAAGATTACCTTTTCCAGAATACATAAATTCCAAATAATCAAACAATTCTTTCACAGTATCGCAATGACTAACGTACCCCATTACCTCATTCTCCATTGAGTTTTGAATCTGGATAAATAATCTAGAATCGTCACGAAGCCAGGCAGTATTAGCAGCTCTATCAACCTCCTCCTTTGGCGGGTCATCAAGTAAGTGGGTATATTTATCAATGCTCCTTAAATAACGTTTGATAGTTTTACTCCATTCAAGATAATTGGAGCCACAAAGTTTATTCTCAGTAATTTTAAAATTAATGGGAATAACTTCAGAAACTATCAAAGGCTGACTTTGTGTTACTGCGGAGGTGTCAGTGTCAGAACCAAGCATTTTTTTTTCTTTCTTTCTTTTTTTTTTTTTTTTTTTTGAGACCGTAATAAAGTTTAAAATTGAGATATTTAATTTAATGAGAACTTACAGCAGCCCGTTTTGAGCTTGAGAACAAAAGATACAATCTGCTTGGGCTTTGACTGCTACTCCAGACATAAGTCAGATGCCAGACCCCAACGAATAATCAGCCACATGAAATAGTGTGCGTATGTCCACAGACTGAATGAGTAATTGTCGGAGTCGGAAATTCGCCGGGTAGATGGTCGGACCTGGCAGAGATTCTGAATAGAGAGGGCTAAAAAAATAAATCTGTCCTGGGGTGAGTTTCTGGGAGACAGAATGGTGCCTAGAGGTTCTGAAGAATCTGAACTGAACTCAGGTTTCTTTGAGGAAGAACCCAGTATGAAAAACTAAGCTAAAATCTAAAAGAAAAGGAACTAAACTGAAATGGAGTCTCTGATACCATGTTATAAAGATAGAAGAATATTCTAAAGCATATTCTAAAGATAGAAGAATATTCTAAAGCATATTATACAGCATATTCCAATGTCTTTCACAAGTAGCATATGACATAGGTAACGTCACTGTTGGAGACCGAGTACCAATCGGACCGGCGGTAGAAGGCGGTAAAACCAGTCCCGCCGGTTGACCCGAGAGAGTTGTGCCAGCAAAACGATGACTCCCGGCAAAGCTGGATTCTGTAATATTTGGGTCGTGGGGCTGCAGCGCACGAAGCTTCGGGACTGTCGGAGTCCACGTAAAAATTTAGGGACCCACGTGGAAGAAAAGCCAGTTAAAGAGATCGACGAAAAAGGCTGCTCATCGGTGAAGGACGGCGCCATGATGCCGGAGGAGATCAGCGGCTCGGTGTCTGCCGCGCTCGTGGTCAGGGGCTCCATCACCGGCGGTGGTCCGGCAGCAGTGATGGTAGAGTCGGCGGCGGCAGAAGTGGCGTGAGGGGAGGAGGCCATTGATCCGAAAAAGAAATTATAACTGGCTAAAACCTAGAGCTCTCGATACCATGTGGGAATAATTGGGAGACTTACCAATGTGGTTGTCCTAGATGTCATATATATAATAAAAGGTGTTCTGAGTACATTAGGAAACATACAAAATATGGAAACCTAATTAAAGTATTAATTACTCTGTTAGATCTGTCTTATGTTCATTAATTACTGGTGCACTACTATAGACCGGAGATGAAAGACTAGACGCTGTTTTAATATTACAGTGAATGTAAAAAGATTTTTGAGGAAAAACGGTCTTGGTTCCCTATTACTGCTGATGTTAATGTTAAGAGTGTGCAAGAACAAGAGGAGCGGACATTTGTTCATGGGGTTTTGGCTGGGCTTGGTCCACAATATGAGGTATCAAGGAGTCAAATACTGTATAGTGGGACCCTTCCTAGTTTTTCTAACCTCTATGGATGTCTCCTTCCGGTGTGCAAAGATGGAGAATCCAGAATGATGAACTCGATTGATACTGCTGCCTTAGTCAGTGATGTGAGCCGTGGTAGAAGGACCAATTCAGTCGCTACTGAGGGGACTCGTAATTCTTCTCGCACATGTTATCACTGTGGAGTTGAGGCCTGAGGGTCATGTCAAGAAGAATTGCTGGAAATTACATGGTCGTCCACCACAGACATCTAGACAATTTCCTCCTAGGCGTGTTGCTAATACGATTATCTAGGATGGTATCTTACCGACTCCTTCCACCATTACTATCTCAGCCGATGAATATGCTCGACAACAACTTTCTCTCACAGCTTCATCCGCCACTCCACAAGTTGATATAGGTATTCCTGCTGCATGCCTCTACATCATCACACAATTGGGTGATTGACTCTGGCGCAACTGACCATATGACTGGTAATGAAAATATTTTGTCTTCTTTTACGTCTTCTGCCAACCAGTCTCACGTTACTTTAGCAAATGGATCAACCGCATCTGTCAATGGCCTTGGAACAACAACTCCTTCTCCAAACCTTTCTCTATCTTCTGTTTTATATTTATCTCAATTTCCGTTTGATTTAATCTCACTCACTCAGATTACTAAAGCCGTAAACTGTTGTGTTATTTTCTTTCCCACCCATTGTCTTTTTCTGGATCTTGGGACGAAGCAGATTATTGTTAAAGGCAGATTGGTTAATGGCTTATATGTTTTTGAATCCTTGGTGTCGAGATCAGTTGCATGCACACGTTCGTCTCTGTTGAAAGTTCACTGTCAATTTGGTCCAGGATATGTGATCCCAGGTCGCAAAACTTGATCCCTGGGTTTTTTTGGGTTATTCCCTATTACACAAAGGATATCGATGTTATTCTCCTTTACTGGGATGGTATATTATCTCTACAGATGTCACATTTTTTGAAGAAACACCTTTCTTTCAGCATAGTTCATCTTCATCCCCTTCTTTTGAACTCTCTAATGATGAGTTTCTAATCTGTACTATCAGCCAGCCAGAATCTATCCCCCCAGTGAGATTTGCCCATCAACTTTCCTACCTCCTCTATCTACTCCGCTTAAAGTTTATTCTCGTCGTGTGCGCCCTGTGATTACGACAACCACTATGGCTACCAGTGTACCACCATCATCTTCTGCTTCGCTTCTAGATTTTGCTCCCTCCGACCTTGATCTCATTTGTTACTTATAATGCATTGTCACCTTCTTGCAAGAGCTTTGTTGCTTGTTTAGATTCTATTGTTGTTCCTTCAACTGTTTCTGAGGCCTTGGCTCATCCTGGTTGGCAAGAGGCAATGCGAGAGGAGATGATGGCTCTCGATCAGAATCACACATGGGACCTTGTATATCTTGCACCTGACAAGAAAGCTATTGGGTGTAAATTGGATGTTCACTGTCAAAAATGAATCCTGATGATTCTGTTGCTCATTTAAAGGCACAGTTAGTTGTTAAGGGTTATGCCCAGACATATGGTATAGATTACTTTGACACTTTCTCTCATGTTGCCAAACTTACATCCATTCGATTGTTTATCTCTTTGGCTGCTGCTTACAATTGGACACTCCATCAACTTGATTTTAAAAATGCCTTTTTGAATGGTGACCTTAGCAAGGAAGTATACACCAGGGTTTCTTGCTCAGGGGGAGTTTGGAAAGGTATGTAAATTAAGGAAATCGTTATATGGTCTGAAACAATCCTCACAAACTTGGTTCGGCCGTTTCAGTGCTGCAATATTTAAATTTGGCCTGCGCAGGAGTGCCTATTAGTTGTGTGTGTTGATGATATCATGATCACAGGCAGTGATGCGAGTCGTATTTTGAAACTGAAAGCTTTCTTGCTCCTTGCTTTCAGACCAAAGATCTTGGTCCCTTGAAGCACTTCTTAGGGACAGAAGTCTCACGTAGTAATAAGGGAACTTATTTGTCTCAAAGAAAATACTGCCTAGATGTGCTAAATGATGCAGGTTTGGTTGAGGCAAAACCGTGTGATGCTCCGATGATCCCAATTAGCAGATGTGTTCACAAAGGCTCTACTGGGGACACGTATCAGTTTTATTTGTACCAAGTTGAGCATGATTAATATCTATGCTTCAGCTTGAGGGGGAGTGTTAGAGTATACATATTTAATAGTCAATATATTCTATATATATATATGGTAGCTAATATATTCTCTGCGATAGACTAAATATTCTATGTAAATCTGGCAGAATTAGTTTTCTTTTGTATTCTTTAGCTTGAAGTATTTATTCTGGCTATACCCAATGATAATAAACTGTGATTTCATTGCATCCTTAATTTCGATTACTCAGTTTACACTATTTATGTAGTCAACGCAATCCCTTTTTATTATCTGATTTTGTGTTTCATTTTTCCTCATATTTGGATTCAGTTTCTGCGTTCAAATATTTTAAGTGTAGGCTTTAAATATGTAAATTTAATTACTCGTTTAATTTAAATATTACTAGGAGAGTAAACATTAACTTCAATGATACCTTGTAATCTGAAACTGGCAAAGGAAATAGGAATGGGGGAATTGATACATGTGTGTAGCG